CACAAACATACATTTCACCGTAATCGCCGAGTCTAACGGTTACCAGCAATTGCTCGGAGAAAGCTTCAACACCGAACAAGACTGTTTTCATTAGGAATCACGAATCGTTTCGCCGATTGTAATTCAACTCGAAACCTCGAGACGTAATTGAATCGTCACTCGTGCTAGTCTTTCATTCTCAAAGATATTTCCAATGGAATATTTAATCCCGGCCAAGGTAAACGAAATACAGTAAATCCTGGATGAGTGTTCGAAGGCTCTTCAGCACTGAACATTAAATATTTCATAAACTAACGGCCATATGTGGTTGAAACAAATATCATTTACTTCAGAATTCCAAGATCTATCACTGTGCTAAACCTCATTAAAAAGTCTACGTAACACCTGGGGACCCCTCGTTGTCAGAGCAAAGGAACCTTCAAGCACTCATCGAGGATTTACTGTTAACGCGAATCGCTCGGTTGATCTTAATTTTTTAATTAAGCAATAACTCGCCACGACTGGGGAATGGGCCGAGTGTGCAGTCTGCCAACCGCAATGAAATCTTTCCTCCCCCGCTGCATATGCATGCGTTCCCAGTTGCACCAGCGTCCAGAAAATCAATGCACCGGCCGGCGAGGCGACCGGCACAGGTACCATAACCGAGGTGGTGTGTTGTTCTTTTTTACCCCTTTTTTTCTCCATTGCCAACGGAACGGTCGAGAAAAAATACGATCCCCTTAAAAGTAAGGGCGGGCCGCGGAGATTTCAAGAGCCATTAAATACTCTCCCAGCTCGGGAAGCCGCGGAGAACAAAAATGGAAAAATGGATGTAACGTTAATCATTTTAAGACAGCCTTCTTTTCTCCAGCTGAACCGGAAAGCTCTTTACGGTCTCGGTACACGAGGCTTCCGGTTGAGCAGGAATAATTTAATAAATTACCGATGCGATTTTTCCGATCAATGACGCCCAATCTATTCCAGCCTCGCGTCGATTGAATACGAGCTACTGACAAGAGAAGGCACGGAAGTGTCTCCCTCCGATTTTGATGAAACTTCGTGTGTCTGTTAAGCAGTCAAAAATAAGGGATACGTATTTTTTTTTTATCGGCTCAGACGCGACTTTAAGGGGTGAAACCACCCCTCGAAGTTTCGACCCGAAGGTACTATCTCGAAAACCAGAGGAGATACATGAAAACTTCTAATGGACGAGGTTTGCGGTTTTTTATTTAGAATAATATGGTGCTAACAAATTGTCCAAAATATAATTTGTTTATAAGAAAAAAATTTCGGTTCGAAACTTCGAGGGGTGGTTTCACCCCTTAAAGCCGCGTCTCTGCTGCTTTTCACTGTATATTATTTGAATAAAATTCTGCCGAACAGTCTGTCAAAAATCGATAATTCTCACACTTTCCTACGGAACCAGACACCTCGAGGAGAGAAAATCGTGAAGCGATTGTCCGATATTCCGTTGGTACGGATGGGTTTTCCGTCAAACAAATGTTCGTAAGACACAGAATCGCTTTCCCTCCTCGCGAGACGAATAAACGAGGACACACGTCGCGTGTCCTCGTCGAGAAAGAGAAAAGTTTCGATTTCTACGAGCGCCGCGGGGACCGTGATTATTCAAACGATCGCTAAACACTATCCATAAATCCACGCCTGGACCGAACAGGTGGAATCCGCGTGTGAATATCTGGGAAGTAGGTTTCGGTGATGAGAAGAAAGTACAAATGGGAGAAAATTGGAAATTGTTAGGAGCCGATCGGTTTGGATCGGACCACGGCGATTCGTCCAGACACGGTTGTCGTGATTACAACGGTCGATGAAACGCGGCGGTCTACAACCCTGTCGATTATCGTCTATTAATTAGCTGCTAGCCGATGCAAACTCTCCGACACGTGTGTCAAACGAGAACCGTGTGCGATACCTTAATCGGGGGAAGAAGATTGATCGACGAAGGGAATTAGACGTAGCGAAATGGAATACATTAATACATTAACGAAACTTTTCAGAGATTCTTTTCTCGGTGAATTTAGTAAACATATATATTATCCGTTTTCTATGAGTCGACGTGAAATACTCTCTCGCTCGTATTAACATAGGTTGAGAATACATGTAACACTTGTCATAAGAATAGAATTCCTTTTATATCTGGGAAAATATTAACGATAAAGAAATTCTTCAGAGTGAAGTCGTAAAGGAAATCACATGGCAAAGGGTTAATAATAATTAGTTTCAATAAATAATAAATACAAATAAAAACTTGTGTTTTCGGTCAGTCGATACAAAAATTATGCAATAATGTCGGTGTCATTTCTTAGAGTGTCACTAATTAGGTCTTTCACCCTACATGTCCAAGTACCAACGCGTCCGAATATTAATGCGATTCACTGTACGTATTCGCACGGACAGAATACGACACACGAGTCACCGGCGCTACGTGCATCTCATCAACGTATGATAATAAGAAGAAAGCAAAATTCCGCTAGGAAACGATGCCATCGGACTATTCATAGATGTATACGCGTATCGCCGAGGCTTCAGACCAGCCCGACAGGCAGGCAGCCAGCCAGGCACCCTTCATCTCGATATTTTTACGTGTCTTCGAGGCGGGATAGGACGGCTTGACAGACAACGCGTTCAGGCAGAAGTAAAGAGCCTGTAAACCCGACGTCATCTTGGTCCGTCTGTAGTATCGATTTTCCGTGAATACGAATCTCGAGAGTATTCCTGGGTGTATCCAGAGCTTTGCCGTGAAATATCGGGAAAATGAAAGGAGAAAATAGACGTATCCGCGTGCAAACGCGCGCGTTCCAGCACACGCCATTCTCAGTCAGAAACCCCTGGCGTTCGCTACGTTTTTAGAAGATGATCCTACTCTCTACAAGGTGCAAGAAGAAAACTGTTTGCCCGTGCTCCATCAAATTCCAATAAGAAAATGGGATACCCGCGGGAGGGAAGCGAATAAGAGATGAGCGGAGAAAAATTGAAGCATGAGACCACGAAAAGAAAGCGTACCCAGCGTGGTACCGAGCATCGAAATAAGTTTCAACGTCGACGATTACTTTGATATTCTTTCCCCTATTCCGAAGCAACTTATGGTAGCTACATACAGGGCTTTTCAACAGGGACTTTGGTTTTTTAATAGGGGTAGTTGTGGATGTGGTGACAGTTTTGTCAATCTGTTTTTTCACATATGTCAAGTACAAGGTCCACAATTAATTATAACGTCTCCAATTTTAATCGAAAATTGTGTAAAAATAATTCAAATCCACTACGAAAATGGTGGATCTGTGAAAACTATATATCGTAAGATTTCGCAATTATGTAAAAATCTAATCGAAAATTTTGACAAAAGGATCGACGTCTGTGATCGTGATGGAATTTGTCCGATATTCTTTTTTATTCATAAATTGTAGACTTTCTACATTACATATCAATAAAGAATTATAGAACTTTCATCCGAAATGTTATATTTAAAATTTTTTGAAAAAGTCCCTGTTGAAAAGCCGTTTATTTGCGTACCAACGCTTTTTCGCGAAATTGCTCGCTCGAAATGAAACAAAAACATTTTCCGGATAAGACATTCCGATGCACCGGGAGGTTCAATATAGATGCAGTTACCTACATGTAATTATTTTGTGTGCTTACAGAATAATGTGACAGAAGGGGAAGAAGAAGATCTGCCTGAAGGCGCTTTCTCGCTGTTGTCGGGGCTTCTAGTTGGTTCGCTAAACTTCCCATTTGATCGATCGCGACTCGCCCCTCGAAGACAACCCTCTGGGAGGCCGTACGCTCGAAAACTTTGATCTAACCTTGTCCAATATCTTCGTGTCCCCTTTCTATTTCGTAGCCCATTCCGGTTCTCGCGGTCCCTTCTTTCAGCTCGCGAAAAACTTATTCAAAACTTGTCGGCTTTACAATCCGCACAACCTGTTTCGTCCCGTCATTTAATATCGAGTATTACGCTCCTCTATCTTGCCTGGAAAAAAGTTTTTGCACGCTCCGTGATCTTCTCTAACAAACATACTTAGATACAACTAATGCTAAATACATATTCGACCCACTGCACGTACATACAGCGGGTAACAAGAGTATTCTCACACCCTTTAAAACACAACAACTTTTTTAAAATTGGTCCAAGGAACTTGAGTTGTTTTGTGATGTTAGGAACACCAGTTTACTAAATAATGTGTAATAAAAATTCGAAAAAATTGCAGTTGGTCGGAATCGCGATGAAAATAGTAAAGGTTGTTTTTTACAACTCTTTTATTTAAGACTGTAATGAAAATTTCATAAATATATTTCGACGATATCTATTTATTAAATTTATATTATAGCCTCAGATTAAAAAGTTGTAAAAAGTGACCTTTACTACTTTCTTCGCAATTTCAACCAATTGCAACTTTTTAAGTTTCTTTACACGTCATTTAGTAAACTAATTTCCCCAACTTCACAAAAGAACTCAAATCATTTAGACCAATTTGAAAAAAGTTGTTTATTTTAAAGGGTGTACGAATACTTTTGATGCCCGTTGTAAGTACAGGGTGTCCCAAAATAGCTTCGACTACGGGAAATGAGGGGTTCCTGGTATGATTTGAAACAACTTTTTCCTTAGCAAAAATGTTCCCCGAGGCTTTGTTAAGAAATTTCGGTGTTTTTCGTTAATATCTCGTTAACAAAGCCTCGGATAACATTTTCGCTAAGGAAAAAGTTACTTCAAATAATCTCAAGAACCCCTTATTTCCAGGAGTCGAAGCTATTTCGGGACACCCTGTATATACATAGGTATTCGTGCGTCTGAAGGGTCTTCGAGGGGCGACCGACAAATTAACGATTCGAGCTCGATCGATTAATCAAGTATTGTTTCCCTGTATCTTTCAGGTTTCCTCTTCCTGATATTGATATTTCTATCGGTCGCTGGCAACATACTCGTTTGCGTGGCGATTTACACGGACCGTGGTTTACGGAGGATAGGAAATCTCTTCCTCGCCTCGCTCGCGATCGCCGATCTCTTCGTCGGATGTTTGGTAATGACATTCGCGGGCGTCAACGATCTCCTAGGCTACTGGGTCTTCGGTCCACGATTCTGCGACACTTGGATCGCTTTCGACGTAATGTGCAGCACTGCCTCTATACTGAACCTCTGCGCGATATCCCTCGATCGTTACATTCATATCAAGGATCCTCTCAGGCAAGTGTTCCTCCCTCGATACATATACCGACAACTAAGACTGCGGATTTTTTGCATATACACACGATACTCGAGAATTCACTATACATAAATGTTTGATAAATTTTAAAGAAATTATTATAATATTTGTAACCTGGTAGAACGGTAAATAATGTAAACAGATCCTAGTTTGACTCTAGTTTCTGTAAACTAACTCCAAAAAAATTTGTATTTGCACAAAAATCCGCAGTCTAATGATAACACTCCCACGTCAAATCGATCTCGTTGTTAAGGTGATCCGTTTACTCGACGAACAGATACGGTCGTTGGGTGACAAGAAGAGTGGCAGTTGCTGGAATCGTTATCGTGTGGCTGCTCGCAGGACTAATATCCTTCGTACCGATTAGCCTAGGCCTTCACCGGGCCGACGAACCCGTAGTTTACGACGACGGCCAAGAGGTACGAGTCCCAAAACAACCTTCCCTAAACTTTTAAAGCTAGCCTGAGAGAATGAGAAAGAGAAAAAAAAAAAAAAGAGAGAAAGCGAAAAAAAAAAAGCGTCACGTGGAAAAACGAAATCAACGACCAAACGACTTTGGCGCGTCCACTCTTCCATCATTTTGTCTTTTAGGAACACCCTACGTGCGCCTTAGACCTTACACCCACCTACGCGGTCGTCTCCTCTTCCATATCTTTTTACGTGCCCTGCATCGTGATGCTGGGAATTTATTGCAGGTAAGTTCCAAGCAATTCTCGGCAGCGCTACAGAGCACTTTTCGAACAAAAAACAGCGTAACGGGGGGGGGGGCCACGCAAATATGTACCGCCACGGGCAAACTCGGCTTCCGCTAGGGGAAAAAGTTGACGCAAAAGGGTCTCCTACCATTCTACTACTTGTTGGTATTTGGAATTACTGAAATTTATGCCAAATTAACATTCGATTTAACATCAATTTCAGGATTGATTTCACATTAAATTCAGCAATTTTTCCCCTAGTGGAAGTTGAGTTTGCTCCTAAGTGTACAATACAATGGGGAACACAGCAATGTACAACCACGTAAGCGCGCCCCCTTTCCTACCAATTCTATCGGGCACGTTGGTTAAAACCGTTCACCCGTCGATCGTGTTTCCAGGCTCTATTGTTACGCGCAGAAACACGTGAAAAGCATCCGTGCGGTGACGAAGTTGCCGGACACATCGATGGCCAAGAGCTTTCGAGCGAAAAGCACACGGAACAAGCCGCCGAAACCGCAAACGAAAACGAAGCCGACGAGCCCTTATCACGTGTCCGATCACAAGGCCGCGATCACCGTGGGCGTGATCATGGGTGTATTCTTAATATGCTGGGTGCCGTTTTTCTGCGTCAACATCGTTGCCGCGTACTGCAAGACCTGCATATCAGTCCGGGCGTTCCAAGTACGACAAAACCCACTCTAATCGATCTCTGTCCTCTCAGAATCGTTACCGATCGCGTTCCAAACATCGACGCAATGTTAAATTCAATTAATTTTCATACGATCAATTTTAAAGTGTCCTATATTTTCGAACATATACCCATAAAAATAACAAATTGGGCAATATCCTTTTTTTTTTTTCAAATTTCTAAATAGTTTCCCGGTATAAAAACAGGGCATTTAAAACAATTGCAAAACAGATGGTTAAAGAATATTTTTTTTTAATTGAAATAATTTTTATTTGGTACTCTTATGTCTCCACTGTGAGTACCCGCAAAGTTAATTTCGATCAGTTTGTTAGTTCAATAGTTATGATTTATTGAAAAAAGGTAGACCCTAAATTTCAAACAGCTGTAAAATCAACAGTATTTAAAATTGTTCAAAAATCCTTCGAGATACGTTTGTATATCGCTCAAGCCTACAACATATCCAAATTTCAACAAAATCTGAAATAGTGCTCCAAAAACGGTCCACTTTCGCGTGGAATGATCCCCTTAGGCCTCTTTCGATCTAGTTATCCGCGAAAAATACACGGCAAGAAACAAAAGAAATTGCAGAATCCAATGTATAACAGGTACTCACTTGGCTCGGCTACAGCAACTCGGCCTTCAACCCGATCATCTACAGCATCTTCAACACAGAGTTCCGGGAAGCGTTCAAACGGATCCTCACGAAGGGTGCACGCGCCCGTGGGAACCAACCGTCGACCAGCGAATGCGGCGAATTTCGCTCCGTGGTGGTGCAAAAACGTAACGGATCCATGATCGAGTGTAACATTAGTCCGAGATCGAGCGCGGACAGCTGTCAGGTCGGAATTATGGCGCAACGACACCGCGACACCATCGTCAGCGCGATATAATACGACTCGAGTTTCTCTTCCGGATTTTCATTCCATTATACTTCCTATCGGACGCGAGCTCGCGCTCCTTCGCCGCGGCACCCTCGACTCACGGGTGTCTCGCGATCGACTGTGAAAGAAAATCTCAAATGAAACGCCACGGGGACGATAACGAACGGTTCCTCGTTCCCGGAAATTCAGGTAACGCGTGTACGTAAACAATCGACACTTAACCTGCGAGGGATCTTGCAAGGATTGTTTCTATTCTTCTACCTGCTTAGTATTTTTCTTTTCTTTTATTCTTATGTACCGACGCGCAGCGAGTGTAGTCGTCGTTTAAACTGTTCAAACAAGCTCGCACCCTTGAAATTTCGACTTGAAACGTCGTGTTTCCGTCGAAATGCTGAGCACGCCGTCGAACTTTTCCACCGTGAGTATTCTAATGCAATAATCTGAACGCCGCGACTGCATGCCTTCATGCTCGTTATCCGTTTATTGTGTCAGAAGAGGAACGACGATATTTGATTGTGTTGACATTGAAATTACGTTACCAATGATTCTCTGGAACATAAAGATTGCTTTCTTTTTTTGCATTTTGTAAACATTTCGAGATACGTCGTAAAAATATACATACATATGTACGTTGTATCGCTCTAAGCAATAACAGTCACCGCATATCGAAGGTACAATCGGGAAAAGTTCAACGTAGCGTCAGTTCTCTTCGTTTCGGCGCTAAAAACGAATCGACACTAATTCCGTATGAACTTTTTTACTTGATATTTTTTAAGCACAAAGGGCGAACGGAAATCGAACATTACGATACCGGTGGTCGATTATGACAAAAAAAAAAAAAAGACAAGAAAAGATCAGAAAAAGTAAGATGAATGACAATCACCTGAAGGTAGTTCAAGACATATCCACGAGACATAATCCACCCACGGTACGAGTAAATGGATAAACGCGAGTTTGCCGAAAGAATCGAACAGAAAATATGTTCGTTTAAATCTGAAATATAAAAATACAAATTCGTTCGTAGAGAAATTCGAGTATAGTACTAGTTAGCATATGTTCTCATAAAGCAATTGTAAGTAACAGAATCATGTTGATAGCGTATCTACGACCGTAATGCTGGATGTTACGCGGAGAACACTAATAGTAACGTCTGTCGAATCGTAGCTTATTAGTATTAGGATCGCGGTGGATTCCGCACAGATTCATTTTCCATCTTGTAAATAGCCATTTATTTATTTTTCTATTTGACGGGACACCATGACGAGACCCGCGTATTCTATGCGTTTCAAGCGACAGACGCTTCGTTACGATGCAAACACGTGTCTCAATACTGTCGAGCAACCCGTCGAATCTAACTCGAATCTGCATCATACAAGTATATCCAAAACAAAGAAAATCCTCGCGAACACACAACCGGTGCTCACGATGTTCCGTCGAGCCTCTTCCATACGTCTGTATCCAGCGATGCGAAGTGCACTGCATTCCGACTAGTGGGAAACGGATATGTTAAAAGTGTAGATCGTATATAGTAAATTAACGAGAAAAAACAATACGTGGCCATTAAACGATCTCAAGTATCTCCTATCGGAGTGTCACGTGCACAATGTTGATGTATACTGATGATATATTTGAATGACCGTTCTCTGTAAATATATTAGCGTAAGGACTTCCACGCGAGTGTTAAATTTGAAATGTTTTATTACTACCTGATTATCCCGCATCGATCTTCTATACCCCAGTTAACATTAACAATCCACTTGGCGTGTCCTTAATCTTTTATTTTCTTAAATAATAACATTTTCTGTGATACAGTCCGTTCTACTCTATTTGAAACATTTGTCACGTGAAGGGGTCTCGTGTCATCCCAAGTACGATTTTCTTTCGATACTTCTAGCGAGTCTAGAAGACTAGAGGTCAGTGTTGGTACAATAGGCTGTAATATTATAGCAGCCACTCGTACGCTTTCTAGGGCCAAAGATATCACAGCCTCTAATTCTTTCAACGAGTCAAGATCCTTAGATTTGCATAAATGCCATGGTTTATGATGGTCGAACATTATATTCGCGGCGCGCAACAAACTCATGACTTCGTCTACTACATGATGCAAACAATATTCCTCATAAAATTCTCTAGCTCTGTCGCCGATTTCTTCCAAAACTTTTATATTTTCAATAGCTGCTTCAGATTTTAAGACACTCGCACACTTTGACGGATCGGGTATAACTCTTCTCGGATTGATACTTTTACCTAAACATCGATTAACTAAATTTCCTAACGTATTGGCCAGTTCAGCGTTCAGTATGTTCTGAATTTTCTTTGTGTTATAATCTGTAAAAACAAGGGGGATCAACTTGCAAAATGTACAGCAGTATCTTCGATCGAATGAATCACAGACACGTGCAAATACGTATTTTGACTTACTTGCGTCTGCGTGAAGTACCGCCTGTCGCAACAGAAAGTACCGTAGACCATCCGATGTAAAATCAACCACGGCATCAAAGGGTGAAATTACGTTTCCTTTGGATTTCGACATTTTCTGGTCGTTAACAGTCCAATGTCCATGACATAAAAGTTTCTTTGGTGGTTCAAGACCGACAGCCATTAATAATGCTGGCCAATATATGCCATGGAATTTTAATATATCTTTTCCTACAACCTACGTTTAGAAACATTGTATGTTTTCAAAAATAAATTTCACGACTGTGAATATTGCTTTGCGTTTAATTATAATAAAAGGTATTTACTTGTACAGTTGGCGGCCAAAATTGTTTAAAAGAACTGTCCGGATATCCTATCGAAGTCAAATAATTCACTAACGCATCTACCCATACATATATTGTGTGAGATTTATCTGAAGGTGTAGGAATGGCCCATGGCACTCTCGTAACTGGTCTAGAAATACTTAAATCTTCTAGACCTTCTTCGATCCAATTAAATAAAATCTTATGGTATATTGCCGGTTGTACTGTATTTTCTAAGTACAGTTTTGTATATTAAAATAGTAACATTCTTCAATAAAAAACAGTTACAGTAACTCAATTAAGTTGTACGTAAATATACCGTTTTTCAGCCAATATTTCAAGTTATCTTGGAAAGAAGAAAGACGAAACTTATAAGTATCTTCTTCTGTCCATTCCACAGGATTTCCTGATTCTGCAGACACACGAATAACATTTCCAGCAGTATCTTTCTGTTCTATTAATTCCAAATCCGACAAGATTTTCTATATTCATTTCTGATAAAGAAACCTAAACCTAAACCTAGTATTCCATTGATTTAACAACCCAAAAATGATGAACAGCTTCTTTGTGTTGTTTCTCAGTTGTTCTAATGAACCGTGAATAGTCGACTTGGAATGCGTCGCACATTTGTTGGAATTGCTGTGAAACTTTAGTACAGTACATAGGCATTGGCATAGTTGCCTTATTCGCAGCTTTCTCGACTTTAGTACCGTGTTCATCTGTACCTGTGCAAAGGAATACAGAGTGTCCTAGCATAGAATTAAATCTAGTTATAGCATCTGCCAAAACTGCAGTATAAAGGTGTCCAATATGTGGCCCTGACGGTAGAGAAAAAAAAATTAACACCTTTCGATAACAAAGCATTTACATGTGCAATCCAAATTAATTATTCAATATTTGCAATTGCATACCAGCATTAACATAAAATATGGGTGTCGTAATATATACTTTTGTAGCCGCATTATCAGAAAAACAGTTTTTTCTAATGTGAGCCCATGACATATGTACTTTTGTCTTCACAGATGGAAACGCCCATAACGATTGAGTACTACAAGACCTTGCTAGGTGGACTGCAACTAAAATTCAAATTCACCCATAATTAAAATTATTAAAAATATTATGAAGACATAACATATAAGACATGTAAACGAAAAGCATAACTGTAAATGAATAACATTTTCCGTTTTTCAGTAATTTATTTTTATATCATTCTATACAAGCGCATTTTCTATCCATACCAGATGAAATATAAGAATAATTTTTTACATGTAAACATTCAGTTAGTATTTAATTCTAATTGTATTGTCTCCAACTGTGCTACAAGATCCATGTGTTTGAATTCATCTGGTTTACTAGTGAATGTCTCTAATAAGTGTAACCTTGTTGGATTATCTGTACAGTAATATAATTGTAACTCATTTGCTAAACATTGCGCTTCCTGTACGCCAATGGTGTTTTTATCAAATTCACCCCGCATAAGCACAATGCCTTTGCTCTCTCTAAGTTCTAGATAATGCACCATAGATAAACACTCTGGAGAGTTCTCCTTGTGTGCCTGATACCACAAAAGCGGTGTCATATGAACCTCTGTACCATAGAACTGGGTAACAATAAATTCATACCCATGTTCTCTAGGTAATGGCAATAAGAACGTGGGATACTGTTTTCCACGCTCAAACATTTTGTCGAACTGGTCTGGTGCTAATATTCCAGATATGCAATCCTTTTGTTTGTGATAATTTTTCCATATATTTACAATCTCTTCCTTAGTTTTATCCTGAATCATATCCACTTTCATTATGTTACTTAATTGTGCCTGTTTGGGCTTATAGTTTGGATCCAAATTTGGTTTTGCCTGGCTCTGATAAAACTTATAGCCTTGCTGTTGTTTCTCTTCAATCGAATAAGACAATGTCAATGAAATAGACGTGATGCTTATAACTAACTAAAGATCAATTCTGTTCTAATATGATACAACTAAAACAGTGCACGAGTGCACTACAGTGCAGAATATCCTTGAGTACACTTACTTCTAACAAAACAATGATCAGGATATAACAAAATAGAAAAAACTAACTCAACTTTCATTTAGGATCTGTAAATTAAGCATTGAGACACATTTTGTAGATTATATACCTTTCTTTTCTCGCGACTTCTGCGCCTGATTATCGACACGTTGCAGAAACTCATCGGGACTAGTCTTCTGAAGTTTCGCTATCTTTTCCGCATATTTGTCAAAATAAGGATTCTTTTGAAGATCTTCTAAAACCTTTTCGAGTCTCATGCGGCTTGTCATGATGAATCGTTTGCTATCACCTTTCGCAGCTATGCGAACATTTTTCCTAAATGTCAACGACGACAATTGTATTACGTTCCGTAGAGGAATTGCCATCGATCATTTACAACGATATTAAGTACCGACTACGAATAATAATTCGGCGGGAAAAAATTAACTAAATATATACCATTGTCTCTCCTCGCCATATGTACTCAAATAGTTTAGATGTCGCTGTGGATTGTAAAGAATTCTAAACTGCCATATACGTATCTTTCTCGTCACCTATGAACGGTAAGGAATTTATGATGTTTTCCGTTTGAAATTATTTCTCCGTTTGAAATAATAAATCTTATGAAAGATGAAAAATCAACCTACACGTATAAAAGGTATTTCATACTGTTCTTAATAAGTAGCACAAGGTTCCGGTACGACAGTAACGTATCTATAGAAAAGGACGAATCGCTTAAAACGCGAATGACACATTTGACCCATATTATATACTTTCAAAGCATTGCATATCCACACAACGAAAATTATACATATTTTTCGACAATATTCCAAATGTATCTCATACGCTTTCAAATTGTTGCCTCCCAACTACCGCATACTCGATTTGCGTAAGAAATACGAACAGTTCAAATAGGTATATTTTATTTAAATGTATTTTCGATCGATCATCGAAATTTGATTACCAAGCAGGGACGAGATTGAAACATTTGAAATATTTAAATTTGCACTCCCAGTGTCTGTCAGTAACGATTGGTAACGATACAAAACGTAACGAAAGTCGTTGACGTTGCTGCTTGTAATTCCTGTTTTTCCCATACTTTCGGACGTAGTTTCGGCGAAATTAATTTCAGATACCGACATCGACGATTACTTCTCAAGTAATTATCAATATAGAAAATTCAATTTAAATAACCTACTGTATTATTTATAAACGTCACCGTACGAAATGTCGTTCGTCGGAGGTGCCTAGACGAACATTGCCACGGCCCTGAGGAAAATCTAGTACCGCAAGTCCAAGCGAGTCACTTCAATTACTACGAAATATCACGGTGATATGACACTTATGCGGCAACCGGATGACATTTTTATCGATAATTGATACAGAAAATTTTATGTGGCCTTGATTGGAACGATACCGTGGTTAATCGATGGAAATTCGTGAATAAGGACTCTGACTTGAACGCCGCCCGCCGTGACGCATCGTTTCCGCAACGTCAGTCGCTCTCGTGCCTTTAGCGAAAGGGAAAATGTCGGCGTGTTAGTGGGGTTTTGTTGTGCCAGCCAGAGAGTCGGACTTTTTGGCCACGGTCTCGTGTACGTATTTTCGAACGTAGTGCGAATCCACCACCGATACGGCTCCAAGAAGGCGCAACATCGTCGCGTTTGCCAATAAATGGCGTATATGTCCTACCGGGTACGCTCAGTACTTTAAATCAGGTTTGATCCCGACGTGAGCCAGGTCGCAGAGGTCCGCCGTCGGTTCTAGCGGAGGGAGGACAGAAATTGGGAAGCCAAGAGTAATATGTCGTTGCAGTTGGCGATGTCAGTAGCAAAGAATGATTTTATTGTGGGCGGCAAATACAGGCTGATGAGGAAGATCGGCTCGGGATCCTTCGGCGACATATACCTCGGTATCAACATCTCTAATGGCGAGGTAAGGAGTACCGTTTCGTGCGAGTCGAGCTCTGCCAACACGTCTTCCTCCTCGTATTTCCCACCATTCTTTTTCCTTCCTTTTGAAGCTTCTTTTTCGGCCAGTACGTCTAACAGTCTGTGATATCGATAAGTGTTTTTTCTAACACCGCTGTTGTCTTTTCCACGAAATATGTTTTCCACGATATCATCTCGTGTTGTTGGTTATACAAATTCCTCGTTGTTTTTCCTCGACCGTGTGCACCATCGAAACTGTTCATTCCAATAAAGTTTTGTTTACTCTAACGTGTTACGCTTGACTCGATGATTATTTTCCATAGTTCCTTCATGTTGTCCTATTTATACAAGTTCTTGTGATACTGTTAACATCTGCGTGGAAAAAACGAAGTTATTGTTCTAAAAATTGTGTGTGTGTGTGTGTGTGTGTGTGTGTGTGTGCACGTGATAATCATCGATTACGAACCAGTACTTGTAATACCTACCAGTGTCGAAATGTTTATAATAACTTGTATAATTCCTGTTGCAAGCAACAGCTGTACACATACAGGGTGTTCGGCAACAGGTGGAAGAAAATTTAAGAGACGTTTCTACATGACAAAATAAGACGAAAATCAAGGATTAAGAAACCGCCGTTGGGTCTTTGTTTAGTAATTATAAATGTTTAAAAATTCGGGTCAGAAGCACCTGAGTCGTCCCGGCTATTCGACCATCACCGGCGCGTGTGGGGCAGTCTAGAAAGGCGCGTACAATTAACATTGAGACACAACTACACGTAAATATGATTCTGCGATACTATAAAAAAATTCGAAATGATTCACATGGCATATTAAAATCATGTAAAAGTCGTGTACACGCATGATCGATATTTTCCCGCGTATTAAAGTCTGTTTTACGCATCGTGAATTGAGTACAAACAGAACCGTTAAAAAATTTTCAAGCACGCCTAAACTGAAAATTGTAAACTTAAATTTAATATCGAATGTTATCTCTGTAGGACATACAGAGAGACATACAGTATTAGTTGATGACACAAGTGACGATCTGGCGTGTAGATGTGTCGTATCGAAATTAGATATTTTCTTGTCACGAATGATGCCAAAATCTCCAGATTCAAAAGTATCAGATAGAGCGGATCCTCAATAAATTGGCAGATTTAATGTCATGCACGAATCATTTTGGACTGTTTACAGTGTTGCAAAAAACCGTATCACAGGCCGGAAATCAAAAAAACTTGCCCCTGCATGAACGAAGTAAGTATGTAATATTTATGTGTCGTTATTTTTTAACGTTAGCTACACGCATCCCGCTTGAACGGGCCACATGCACAGATGATCGTCGAATTTCCAGGCCGTAGGTGCTTCTGACCCGAATTTTGGAACATTTCGAATTAAAAAACAAAGGCCCAACAATACTTTTCTTATCTTTGATTTTCGTCTTATTTTTTCATTTGCAATCATCCCTTATATTTTCTCCCAGCTGCTGTGGAACATCTTGTATAATCTAAGAAAAGAAAAAATTAAATTATCTATGTATATCGAAAAAAATGTGGTCATAGATGAAATAATTTATAATGTGAACAATATATTGAATTTCTTCTGCAATAGTTTGAGTTTTCTCACATTACGCTTTATTTTAGGAAGTTGCTGTTAAGTTGGAGAGTATGCGTGCTAGACATCCGCAACTCCTGTATGAATCAAAATTATACAAAATTTTACATGGCGGTGTAGGGATACCTCACATTCGTTGGTAAGTTTTACTTTTATGTGTTCCTTTAATTCTTTTTCAGTATTTAATATATAATAAATTTATACACATGACAAAAAAATGTAACTGCATAATGAAATGGCTATATCTGATTTTATGGATCTCATAAACTGCTGTTGTTTCATTGTTAATTATAGGTATGGACAAGAACGTGAATACAATGTACTTGTCATGGATCTTCTTGGTCCATCTCTGGAAGATCTGTTCACATTCTGTTCAAGAAGGTTTACAATTAAAACAGTCCTAATGTTGGCAGACCAAATGATTGGCAGGATTGAATATGTTCATTGCAAACATTTTATTCACAGAGATATCAAGCCAGATAATTTTTTAATGGGCATTGGTCGTCATTGTAATAAGGTATCGCTTCAATTACATTAATCGCCGTTACCGAAACGTTTAGAAATGTTTGTTAGACGTTAACAGTGACAAATTGAAAAATTTTCAGTTGTTTCTTATCGATTTCGGATTAGCTAAAAAATATAGGGATAGTCGTACAAGAATGCATATAATATATCGGGAGGACAAAAATTTAACGGGTACAGCCAGGTATGCCTCGATCAATGCACACCTTGGAATAGAACAGAGTCGTCGCGATGATATGGAATCCCTTGGTTATGTGCTTATGTATTTCAACCGAGGATCTTTACCCTGGCAAGGACTCAAAGCTGCTACCAAAAAGCAAAAATATGAGAAAATAAGTGAAAAAAAGATGTCCACGCCTGTAGAAGTTTTATGTAAGGTAAATTTAACGTTTGCACACGTACCTGTTTCCTGTTTTCATCGAGTACAAACGGGATGAAACGTTAAAAAGACATTTATTTCTTTCAAATTTTTCACTTTTAGGGATTTCCTGCTGAAAAAAACCAGATTATATGTATCTTCGCCAACTTTTCCGTATATTGTTCCGTACGTTAAACCATCAGTATGACTATACGTTTGACTGGACGATGTTAAAACAGAAGGGACTAACAGTTGTCACTAGTGCAGTAACTGGAACAACTGGTCTCAATCCACCCAATCTGGGTACTCAGGGGCAAGGGCAATCCCAAGGTCAGCCACCCGCTTAGGCCAATGCTCAGCCAGGTGTTTATTCTTAATATTTTAAACAATACTATACATATTTTATTATTGTTTTATAGTGTACACGAAACATTTAACATGCAAACATTACATAACACTTACATAAGAGAGATTATCAAGAATAGCATCAGTCTCGCTGAATTTTAATGTCGAACACAGTCAATTAATAGCACAGAACAACCGTAATATTAATGTACACTTACATTTTGTTTCAGGAGTACGTTAAGACCATATTCCTTTGTCTTTGCATCAATCCTATTTGCAGTCGATAGTGTCCAAGATCAGGTACACGACTCTGTACGAATGCCACGCAAAGAGTTCAATCAATCAACCCTCTAAGTTTACATAAAGGAGGAATGTCGCGATTACTAGCGTATCGTACATAGAAAAGGACAATGCCACGGATACACGTTTCTCAATTCACTACGGAAGTGAATACTTCGGTGTATTCACAGTGCTTAGAGTTTTGGTTGATCCACCTCTTTGGGCTTAAAAATCCAAGTGAGATCAGTCAGGGGTGGCTTGTTCTTATTTTGTTATTACCTATTTAATTCACCGTTTATAATTGAAATAAAGGTTTTGATGCCCCGAAGACCTTTGTAAAAGAATACACGTGATGGTGTAACGTGTGATTTAATCGAGAATTCGACATATAAACTATCATAGAAAGAAAGAGAGAACGTTCTGACCATTCTTAAATATATATTCGGTGTAATCGATTAAGTACATTATATAAAATTTTATATCTATTCTGCAAATAGAAAAGAAATATGTGAGAATGTGTGAGTGATTATGCGAGTGCATGAACAAAAAATTATATAAATAAGTGTACTGGGAGATAAGTATAGTTTGTTGCTTCCCGATTTTTGTTTTATTCTCAGTACAATATAGTATAAATAAAATGTGTGCATCTTTGAGAGAAATGTTAATATTTTTCTTACATAAGCTACTGTGTCAACAGTATCAAAGATCTTCCTTTGATATTATTGACTCTGATAACATTTTTTTTATATAAATGTATATACACAACGTACACATAGGGACGCGTACACGCGTACATATGAGTAAGTGACAGTATCTCAGAAGTAAATACTGGCGATTAATAATAAAGTATATTAATATTAAGGCAGCAATTTAATTTTTTTTTTAGATACATCGTATTAATCAAGAAACGAACAAATTTCTAAGTGATTTTGTCCCGATCAATTTCACTGCTTATACTCTCTTTCTTTCTGTGGGTGTATTTAGTCGATTATGATAAAGGAAAAATTGAACAGACTTTTTTTGTGCTGAAAATGCATTACAGGGTTATCTTTTGGTCGAATAACAATAGAATTGCGGGGGGGGGGGAGAGAAACAATAAAAATACAAGTAATTGTTTTGATTGAAAAATAATTCTGTAACCAGATTCAGCCGAAGGACTTCTTCCGTGTAGTTTTAATGGCAGAGACTGTGCAGTGGTATTTCCGTGCTATTGCTTCAATGTTAAGTTTATAAGGCGTGACTTAGAAAATCTTAATCGATCAGTTAGTCGATTGTTAATATGTATAATGAGTCGTCGAACGCGAAGTCATGTAATGTAACATACACAGATGAGGAAGGAGTTCAGAAAAACTTGCTTCTGTCATTCGAAGTTTTCGTTCACATTAACCATACTAGTTACGTCGATATTCACGTCTATGTTCCATGCACCACTTCCAAAACGCTGTATAAGCAATCATTGTTAATTCATTACGTTCTTATTCGAAAGGAACAGTACGATCCTACGATACAAGAATAAGCACGACTGGATTTTATGTTTACTATTGTATTCTGAACCGACAACTTGTTTGATGAAGTTTTCTGAACAGTGATTGAAAGAAGGAGATACATTAAAAATTCTTGAGTGAATGTATGGTTAATTATTATTTTTTAATATTATTATTATCATCATTATCATTATTATTATTATTATTATTATTATTATTGCAAAAGGGAGAGAAACGAAGAAACACAAAACGAATGAGTAAAAATGTGCATTACCATGCAGCGAGAATGAGTGAACGAGTAAGTTAATGAATAATTAATGATATATGCACTCACTATCTGGTATGTGTATATGTATATATACAGATAATACTTTATATGTGTGTATACATATATACATGTGTGTATGTATAATAAAATTGTGACAGTAATTAAGGCATACGTTATTTCGTAAAATAATGAAGGATACGTCAACAGTTTATTGCTCCTTTTATCGCTATAAATAAAAAATGAAACATTGTATTATATCCTCTACTTCATTAAGTGTCCATTTTTATGGCAATATGCAATTATTACCATTCCCTAGAATGATAATAATACGTTGTTCAGAGTAAACGATACAATTATTCTCCCAGAGAACACACTTTCTATGCTACGATATTCTCGACACAAGGGGATCTGTAAAGGATATTTATGTAAATATTTGTAAGTCGTGTATTTGACAATTCATAAAAGATATTATATAAAAGCCACAACGGCACTGAACACTATCGTTGAAATTGTTAATAATAACATTCGAATTTATAAGACAGCAATATGCTGCAAGTCTACGAGCCACGATGCACCAGTCATCGTGCTGTAGCCAATCGGAAATAAATAAAATATCGCACGTTCCAAAGTCACGTAATTCGTTCCTTTCTTCGGTTACGAAACAGTTTGATTGTTCGTTCTTCAAATACAATATACAAGGTAAACTAAGTATAAGTGCATCGGAATATGATGATCTGCCTCAGCTTAGGAGCAAGCAAACACGAAAAAAAAAAAATATATATATATATATATATATATATAGATTCTGTGGTAGGATGTTCTGCTACACTCGATGAATAAACATGAAATGAAATTAAGAATTAACATTCAAGAATCAATAACACAGTAGAGAGTGAATTCGTTTAAGTTCCTGTGTTCCTACGTTAACCGTGACAACCTGTTCCGGACCTTTATAAGGAATTGTGATTTCCGCAGCAAATAATTGATTTTCCTGTATCGCCGCTGCCATTTCGCGATTTGGAAACACCGCGAAATTAGCTTCAGCCATTCCTCCTGCTGTTCGCTTTACAATTTCCTCGCGAATTTCACCCTACAAACAATAAGTTGTTTTGTCAAAAATTCTGCCGAAATAATATGTATGAATTTCGATTCATTACTTACGACTAATTCATCCACTCGGTCTTTTAATTCTCTCATGACCAATCGACGTTGTAGTAGTTGGTAAATTGGCATTGCTTTGTCTAACGTCGGTCCTTCCGTATCCTGTCCTTTTTTGCGTCTTAGATCAGGAACAGTAGGGAACGTCATAGCTTGTTTAATATCCTGAAGATTAGACAAGATTTTGATTATACGTTTAAATAAGCGTAAAATAACAGTCTTTAAACAATTCGTCAATCATTAACGGAGTAACTAAATATTCTGCAGCTTACATTAGTAAGATTGTTAGTCTTTTTCTTCAGTCCCTGTATTTTTGCATCAGTCGATCCCGATTTTGATGGAGGTATTATCGGATCTAAACGTTCTAGTTTTTGACGCAATGCGTCCGACATTAATTTCTTCTTCTGTTCGTTTTCACTATTCAATGCTTCCTTGAGGGCACTTATTTCTTGTATCAAGAATTTATTGTCCATCGATTGAATTCCCGACGTTATTGTAGCGCTTCCAACCATATTATCTGAACTAGATGAGGACATTACAGTTTTCTTTCCAATAGACTTCAATTTTTCTTTAAGTTGACCCCTTTCTGTTTCCAAACTGTCGATATCGGTTTGAAGATGGTCCATTGTCTCTTCGAACTCTTTTTCCTTTCGTTTAAATTGATTCTGGGCTTCCTCCAATTTTCTTTTTAACTTGTCTACGTTCAATTCCAGCTCATGTTGCTGTGTCGCCAGCTTCTTTTCTACAACGTCCTTTCTTAAGATCATTTCACATAACTCATTTTGCTTTTCTCTCAGAGCTAATTTCGCTTCGCGTATGTCACTGTCCCTTGCTTCAAGTTTTCTGCTGAGTACTTTAGTTTCTTCAGCTTCTTTTCTCGCAGTCTGTGCTCGTATCATGATGGGCATTATGGACTCACTGTCCGTGCCCTGCTCTTGTTGCTGGGATAAGTGTCCACTTATAGCCAATTCATTCTCACATTCGGCCATTTTTTGCGCTAAATTCGCTGCCAATTGTTGAATAACAGTTAAGCTTCCCTTAATCGTTGCTACAGGTCCTATATCCTCTGTATCATAAACTTTTTCACACGCTATCGAGGCCATATCTTTTAATTTCTCTGTACTGAGGCCTGTATCCAAATCGGTATTCGATATGATTGCCTGTACAGCGCCCTTTAGTAACGTTTGGAATGTTTTCACAATCTTCACGGCATGTTGATAACATGTAAACACCTGTTCGGTGGAATCTTTATCCAATCCTAACCTAGACTTTGCAGATTGAAGTGCCGCAGCGTGATCGGTCAATACTCGTCTTCTGGCTGATTTCAAGTGCTGTTGTATCACTTCACACGTCGTCTCAGCATGCTGGCATAGAAGACCTATGTCACCGCCGTCTCCTTCAATCAGTGTTTTAATAGCTGCAGCGTTGGTAGTAATAGCATCGCAACAACTGTCCAGCATTCTCGTACCGTTAACTACCAAGCGTGCTTGGTTAAGGCTGTCGCCGAATAAGACGGAGAACATAGTACAGAAGTAACCGCAGCATTTTTCGATTGCTTCCATCGGCAGATTTTCATCCAACTGATCTCTTTTAGCTAAATCTATTAGGAAATCCAAAGATTTTTCTTGTGCTGCCATTTCTGGATAAGCTGCTCCGGCTTTAAGCAACATTTCAGGCGTGCAAACGCTCAAGGCGGATTCAAAGCACCCGAGGAATGTCTGCAATGCGTACATGTATGAACAGAGATGCGACCTGAAAGTATACTGCGCTACCGAGTGACCTTTTACCACGGCTGCTCTGTCGATCTTATCCAACGATCTGTATTTGTCCCGAACTTGCGATATAACGATTTCGGTTTTCTGTATTATTCTAGGTATAAGTAGAAGCGTCAGAATAGCGTCGTGATCTCCGCCACGAGCTAAGAAAGCTGGAGGCATAAACGATAATAAATAGGCCACATGATTTCGAGCTTCTTCAGCCTCCAATCGTCGTAATTCAAGATCAACAGCTTTCGTTTGTGCACGAGTTTCAGCAAAAGTCTTCTGGAAGTCTAAGATTTCTGCTAATTGTTGTTCCGCACCGCCCATTCCAGATTTTGATGTTTCCGTGGACTGCACGCGTTGTTGCAGTTGCAGGCATTGATCTTGCAACTGATGAGTGAGTTCGCGGAATTTCGTAATTGTAAGTTCACGATCGGTCAATGTCTCCAGAGCTGCGTCACGATGACGATAAGCGTCACGAGCAGCCCCAAGAGCTAGATCCAGTTCTTCGCGCAACTCCAATTCCAATTCTTTCGACGATTCAGCAAGTTGATCGGACATATCCTAAAAAAAAGGATAATTCAGCAACGATTATGGGAATATCTTTACTAAATATACATACCTGTAAAGTTTCCAAATCATCTACAGCTTCTTCCAATTCCGCAACCTTTTCTTCTAACGCCATTTTCTTCTCACCAAGTACTTCAACCATTTCTTCGGCACCTAACGCGGCGTCAACCTAGACGACGACGGAGGTGTTTCAAAGTTTGTTCAAGAATAGGAATGAACAAATAGTTCCTTATAAATTGATCTTTTCCTACCTGTTCTTGCAAATCTGCGATCTGGTGTTCCATTTCTTCTACTCGTACGGATAATTTCTCTTTCGTCCGGCCCAGCTCCAATATTTCTGACTTCTTCTGGTCCAAATCCTTCTGAAGTTTTTGGAATTCATGCTTCTCGTGAGCCGATAGATCTCGCATCCTAACAAGAGTTTCACGCAGCCTGTTATTCTGTTGTTCCAATTGTTTTATCTCGTAACTTGAAGTTCCTGTAGTTGAACCCCCTCCCGCAGCCTATAATTATTGTTAAGTGTCCACGATAGCATAATGACACATCGGACTTAAAGTAACATTTATGTATAAAATACTTTACTCTCTCAGACATTTCTGTTCGCAATATTTCCAAGTCTAATGTTTGTTCTTCTAGTTTTTCCTTTAGCTGTTCCAACTCAATCTGTAACGTCTCAGCCTTCTCTTCGGCCATCTCTTTATCTAATGTAGCCATTTCTACAGTTTCTGCGAGATCTGCCATTTCTTCTTGAAACTGTTCTCGAGCTGTATGCGCTTCCCTCGCCTCTTGACGTGCTCGTTGAAGTTCTCTTTGAAGGCCAGCCTTAAAACAGTAAAGAAATAAACAACAATTTCGAAATTAACACCAAGTACATATTGTATGTAATTTCTGGCACAAATTAATATGAAATTGTAATTACCTGGCTCTCCATAACTTTCGTTTTGAATTCAACGAGTTGTTCGAGTTGGAGTTTCGTTTTTTCAAAGTCTTTCATTCGTTCCTTATCTTGCATTCTCTTCACCCGTAAAGTCTCCACTTTCTCGGTAAGATCACGGGTCTGTAATCATACACGTTAGACACTTAACGAATAAATATAATTCAAAAACGAAATTTGATTTCGAATAGCTCACCTGAGATTTCAAATTTTCATTCTCTTGTTGAAGTTGCAAATGTGACAGTTTTTCTTCTATTACGTTCGCGGCTGCTGCAGAACCTGCCATTACTTGGCCAGGTACAAACTGTGGTTTCAAAGTCTCTACAAAACCTGTCTGAATTGCAAACAAACAACAGATGAGAATATGGTTTAACGTAAGCCGGGTGTTTCTTTTATTATCGCATTGAAAACAAGTGTATTACTGAAGAGCTTCTTCGAGTCCTTCCACATAGCTGGTGTATCCTAAAATGTATTGTTTCAACCGAACAATTTATGAATGGGACAAATAAATATAACAATTTGTAACTGCGGTAATGAAAAAAACACCCTGTACTTCCTGTACAAGAATATTATGTTTCGGAAAAATGTTGTTTTTGTATGTACATTCAAAAGAATTAGTCTATTTCGAAGTGATTAATGAGATTAATTGTAATAAAAGACACCAACAAGCTACATCGAATACTCTATTAGTTCTAACGAGTGTAGGAAAATTCGGTCAATGAGTTGAATTGTGTTATATGACATTGGAATTTGAAGTAGGCGTAAGATCAACTAAGTAAACTATCATACCCTAACCGTTTATTAAATATTAATTGCATTTATACCAGGGATGTCTCATTTTTGGTAAGTGATAAAAAAAAAAGAAAGTTTCAAGTAGTAGTATACCTTTATACCACAATGCTGTTAAGTGCTTGTTCATAAAGAAGTTGTTATTATCACCTCGGTAATACAACCGCAAGGGGAATTCAGCATCTAATTGTAACACAAAAGAAACAACTATCGACCTGAATAGCCCCTTCCTCTTGAAAGTTTCAAGCTATCAAGCATCACAGAACTGAATTAACAAAGCAGATGCTTAACGCAACAGTGAATACGGTGGAGAATAAATTAAATCCGTAATCCATTAAGAACAGATAAACCCATCAAAGTGCAATGATGCTAGTTGTTATGAAGTCATGTGTTACAATGCTTATGATCGATAAACAACTAGTATGAGAGAGTTCAAGGTCAGATGAGAAAAATTTAGATATTACAATTAATTAGTATTAATTACATTATTGTGATCATCTTGGGCCTTTGGCTTTTTGCCGGGAGGCGAGCTCGTGCTAGGGGACTTCTGAAACACGTACGTGCATTCCCATATGAATCATTCTGTGCCAAAGGAATCATCTAGCTTCTTCTCAAAAATTTTACTGTTCATTGTTTTCTTACTTTGCTAAATATTTTTAAGAATCTCCCTGCTCAGAACACATGCACTGGGAGACATTTGTTAAGCTATTACCGTGTCACGGATTAAGATTCTTTAAACATATAATAACAGACTGTAAGTTACTCTGAAGAGCCCAGAGATTGAAAGGTCATAGAATCAATTATTTCCTGTTAATCGATTACGATAATTTATCACATTTATGTGTATTATTTTATTTCACTGAAAACACTGAATATTATATATTCATGCTTTGCCGAGTCCTCAGAATAATCCATTAACTATGTTTATATAAATAAATGATACATCGACTTATTGTATTTGTCACTGTAAAAATAACTAATCTTGGAACAAGAAGACAATACCTCGATAAATGAGGCTCTTTTGGTAGAGGTAGGTGCTGGTATAAGCGATTCTCCTGCATCCTTGCGTTCATGTTGGGATCCAGACAAACTTTCTGTACTTGGAGCACTTAAAAGTGTTCTACTACCGGCCAATGATAGACGTGAACTGCAAAAATTATAATTATTGTAAATTATTTCGAAATAGAGAAACTTGACAATATCAAAATAATACCATATAGGATTTTATATCTGTGCTATTAGAGTTACATCTTCTTGCATCTAAAGTACATGATCTTTAAAAGCTAGAAGAATAATAATGAATTACTATACAGCTTAGAAACATTACCACTGAACATAATTATACGTGTACCCAGCGTTTAGTTATAATTATTGCACAATTGTTCCACAAATAAAAAAAATAACAGGCCAACAACAACTCCTTAGTGTATTATTATGTGTTTGTACATTAATTGCATTGTAGTAAGAATACACATTTATAAATGTACTTACAACGTTTCGTGTTAATAATAATGTGTAATTATCATTGCAAGTCTACAATAAAGGAAGCTAATGGCTGTGATATTACACAAAATTATTGAAGTTACAATAAGCAATTACATGTTTTTTGCTGTTTGCACACATAAAAGCATTTAAACAAAATGCTGAAACAGACATCTCTCAATGATCGATTTACATAAAGTCTTACCCAGAGAGCTTGTCAGATTGCTGCCGGGTAACATGTGCAGGAGATGTTTTTCTCCTTACTCTTTTATGACCAGCATATGAATTTTAAGAATCTATTAATCGTACTTGCCTAATGAAACCTACTTCTTCTTTCAAATGATTATTGCTGATATAGAGGATATTAGAGTAACATTAAGCATTACACTTTTTAAATTTCACATTTTTATACAAACATATGTATACATATATATAAGTAGAGACTTACGCAGTGGGTTCATTCCTTCGAGGTGTACTAATGAATGCATGAAATTTATGACAACAAGCTCAAACAAATATCCATGATCGTAATAAGTTGTTTTAACCAACATTATAGATAACAAAGTGAAAACACACCTATTCAACCGGCTTCTAGCTCTTGCAACACTGGCCTCATCAGGAGTTGTAGCACTACTGCCTGCTGAAGATGGGCTAACGGGTTCTGTTCTGTTGCCTGCTTCGTCCAACAAAATAAGCTGGGATTGTCGTACAAACATTCCATGGTTTTCGGTGCACTGATATAACAAAAATAGAACTAAATAAAGTGACAAGATTATAATTCAGCTTTATAGATAGCGTAACCCTATTATAAGTCTTATGTGTCAAACCGCAAAACGTACTTTAAAGTACGATTGCCCCTTGATAGTGCCGTTATTTTTTCCTTTTGGTTCATCGAGTATTACTCCAATCCATTTCCCCGAAGCAAAACCTGGATGACCAATATAAGCAATCACTCCTTGACAATCCTTGCCAGGAACTTCAACGCGTTGTCCGATTTTATACGACATTTCAACTGTTACCACTGGCCACTGTCATCAATTGCAAGTACATCCTCCATGTATAGCAACTCGTTTTCTCTTACTATACACCAACTTCAAAGTAGTTTCCATAGCAAGTATAATAGATGCACAGTCTTATGGTAGGGATCAGTTGGGATGATGCGACACCAAAGGATAGAATTAGCGTTGGACGTTAGATGTTCAGTTTTGATGTTTAATTTATCGATCCTAAGTTTTGTAAATAATTTTATTAATAAATTTATCGTTGAGTTCAGCCGTGTGTACTTTTATTTATAAATCGTTGAAATTCTAATTGTACATCATACATCTCACACACACGGGGTCTCTTCAGCATGCTTGGGGGGCTCCGTGACCCCACATTCTCAGCACACGTGATCAAAGGCGCCTCCACCAGGGCCTCCGTGCAGGGTCTATGGCGCCTCCACCGGGGGCTCCGTGACCCCACGCTCTCACCGCGCAGGGTCTATGGCGCCTCCACAGGGGGCTCCGTGACCCCCGCTCTCACCCCACGTGATCAATGGCGCCTCCACCGGGGCCGCCGTGCAGGATCTATAACACGTCCACCGGGGGCTCCGTGACCCCACGCTCTCACCCCACGTGATCAATGGCGCCTCCACCGGGGCCTCCGTGACCCCACGCTCTCACCGTGCAGGGTCTATGGCGCCTCCACTGGGGGCTCCGTGACCTCACGTTCTCACTAGAGATGATATGAACTGCTACTTGTGAATCACTCGTGATTCGATCACGTTCGTTCTCAATCACGGTAATTTTTCACAGTGATTCGTGATTTCTCGTGATCGTTTCTGATTGGTGGAGAAACCTAACAGTTCTTTACACGCGACACATAATCTGTATATTTTATATTTCATATTAACGACATCAAAACAAAAATTCGAGTTATATCGTATAAAGTGAAAGAATAATTAGAAACAATGAAGAATAATGAATAAATTAATGATTATAAATTATAATCTACGTGTTACCTAGCAAATCATTCTTTTAGAATTTCTTGTTTTTTCTACTGATTTTTACAAACACAGTAATGTAATTCATCGTAAAATCATATTGAATACGTTTTTCTGTTTAAAGATTAATGACTTACGATTGCAGTGAGCAAATTCACTCAAGATAAAAAAATCGCAATCACGGTCGTGAATGAAGTTAAATCACGATCGTGATCGTGATTCGGCGATCACTGTGATAAATCACCGTTAGTGATTTTGCACGCCATCTCTACAACGCACCGAATGATCGTTGTCAATTACCCGCGCTTTTTCCCCACTAGTTGTCCGTTCATATGCGCGTTCAACAGTATGATGTACGTACTTACTGATTTATTTTAAAAGATATCAAAAAGTCTCTTCACAGAAGTGGATTAGTATGGTGGGGCACATTACATAACAGTAACAATTTCTTCGTAAGTGGAGAATCTTCTTAACCCATTTGCATCATTCGAGAAAAAAGGAAAATTGGCCATCACTAAAATTTTTTTTTATTGTATAAAGATAGAAATGTTGCCAAATGCATAAAAAAGGAAAAAAATGGCGTACACAAAGAATTCATAATATTATTTAGTTCATTATCCGCGCGCATATCTGCGCTTCGGTGATAATGGCCAGGAAAATTCCGCGCGCATATACGAGCTTATGATGCAAATGGGTTAAATTTGAAGGTTAATTATATTTTCATTTTAATGATTCTTCAAAACATTCTGCGTATAAAATATTAAGGTATTACGTGAAAAAAGTTAATAATTCGTGAGATATTTTATGTACAATATTTGAAATATGTCACAAATTGTTAATTCATTCTCGATCTATAACAAAATTATTTCTGGTATGTTATGGTCCCTCTGATACCATATAACTGCTGCAACAAAATACAGTAAGGTTCAAAATATAACCACTGTGACTATTTTTTTAGGAAAATATTATTTATTTATATGCTACTAATATTATTTATTTATATGCATATAATAGTACGCCTATTTTACTTTAATAGAAATATATTATTCAATTTGACCAAAATCCCAGATATGTACAAAAGTGGCTTGGCGTGGAATGTCCCATTTTCGTGTGAAAAACACCGTATGTTTGAAAACTTTCAGAAAGTGGCAGTAAAAATAACACTAGGCATTGTATATCAATACTTTCCATTTAAAACGAAGTATAATAACAAATTTTCGGAGATAGCCTGGGATATGTACGTGGTTGAATTCATTCATTAGTCGTAGGATACATTGGACTGTAAGTTTTCGTAAATTGGTCAACCAGAGGTACAAAACATATGGCTCTGACATTGTGTATAACCATCGAAGTACTGCGAAATTAAATTTCTGAGAAATCGTCTGTATACGTTTGTTTTTCTGTTCTACAAGGGTCGGCGCCTGTTGAGCTGATCGCAGGTATATGTAAAAAAAGAAGGTCGTACGAAAGTGTAATATGGTGCTGAATATTCTATTTCGTTGAAATAGAAATTGGAGTGGGGTAGGTAGTGGACCTATCATCGCTCACCAATCCACCCATCGCGAGCAGTCAAAGACGGCCTAAGGGTCATTCGTCTCGAAGAAGTCAGAGGGATAAGACGTGAAGTGAACTCACTCCTGTCGAAGAGTACGTGATCTTTACTTTTCATATCTAATTCTTTATACCAACTATTAGTGCCTTAGTTAGCTCGTTATCGTTAATTTCGTTTAATATTTATTAAATTTCGAGTAAATTATCGTAAATTGATTCGATATTACGGGATAAGTTGATCGTTCTTCGTGACTTCCTTTATCCAACCCCGGAGTATTTACGCATTTCTGATTCCATTTACAATCTTTTACGGCACACCTCGGGACAATAGATGTTTCTTTGTAACGAAACCATTGTTAATTTGATGTAACTGCTTGGAGTAAACGTGTTTATTTTCTGTTTCAGAACATCAGCTGGGAAGGACGTGTCACCGACTCCATGAGAATAGTAGTTCGCCGGAAAATTGGTGAAACATGGTAATATGTGGTAACAAATAGGTGATCATCTTTAATTTAACGCGTTTTTGTCGTGTCTGGCTGTAAGCATAATCGCAATTTTTTGGTTTATTGTGCAAAGATCGAACGAGAATTCTTCCGGCAGGTATGTACACTTCGAATTTAAATACGCAGTTTGGGGAATTCAATATGGCTACCGCGGCTATTAGAAAATTTAAACATTTAAATTCGAAATATTCGCAATTTACTGTGTCACGGTCGCGAAATTGTTTTAATATTAATAATTTCACCTGTCTATCTTTATGGAACCATCGTGTTTGCATTTGCATACAGTTTCGGTTGTAAGTTTGATTATATAGATACCGTGTAATTCATCGTGCTCATCGAAGCACTGGTAAATAACGAAACTTTGATATTTGCAATAATTTTCGAAATATTTACAAAAATCGGGACGTGGTTTTAATAGAGAAAATGAACGTGCTTACAGCTCTAACAACAAATGTCTTTAATATTGAATATTTTATATTGAAATGAATAATTATTCTGTAATATTTAATAATATTTGAGCTCATGTTAATTATTGAAAGGCAGTATTTTCTCGACAAACACTTGGTAGGTTACAGAAACTAAAGCAAGTAGGCAGGCACAAGTGTGCCGTATTGTATTTCTTCCCATGTACTTTTCTTTCAGAGAATTTTGTGGCCGCGCGCAATGCGGCCGAATAGAGTCAGTGTTTATATCGTACAAGATTTTTTGTTTATACGGAGCGAACTGGCTCCGTGTAGAATCTCACCGGAGATGCTAGGTTTTCGCGAAAGTAGAGTCAGTGTTTATTGCATGTTATCAACTACTGTCAGAGTGTTCGGACACTTTTTGCTTTTTGAGTCGCAAAAGTGGAGTCAGTGCATCACTGAAAAAAATATTTTTGCGCAGCTCTGTTTACAGAGGATGTAAGTATCTTTATATTTTATTACTTACACTATACAATTGAAACAGCTAGAATTTTGAGAGGAGGTTGTAACGATTTCTGTTCCTTTTTTATCAGATTCATCAGGCGCTGTATAAACGACCGTTGCAGAGGATGTCCTCGGGCGAAGCTCCACCAGCCAAGACTGTAAGTATCTTTACATTTCATTACTTACATTGTTTAATGGAAATAGTTAAAATTTTTAGAAGAGATTATAACACATTTTGTTCCTTTTTTTTTCAGATTCCTAGAGTCTTTGACGGAGCCCTTCTGTCATCGGGTGAGTCGCATGCTTTTATTCCTCCAGTCCCCAATCATGTCGTAGGACGATTGGTCCAAAGCGACACGGGTGACTGGTTGTATA